TGATACTTACTGTATGAAAGAGATATTTTCTAGAAGAATACATGCATGATTACCACTTTTTAATTTCATCATATTAATGAATCCACGACACTTGGCGGGCTTATTAGGGAAGGAAGAGGAGACCTAGCAGGTAAACAGACCAGCAACAGTAGTTGCTAAAAAGGGTAGAGCAACATTTATGCCTCAAACATGTCTTAGAAGATCAACGTAGAGGATGTTATCAAAAGGATCTTCGTGAAATTGAACATTATTCGAAGGTCTAGATGGCTGGTGCTAGCACTATTGTGTTGCCTACAAGTTCTTGGATACAATAAAAAAAGTTTAATTAGAAAATGTGTAAAATCATAAAGAATCTGAAATAATAAAACCAACATCTCACCTGCACCTAATCAAGTTGAAATTCAAATTAAGCACCTTGTGTAGCTATAACTCCTCTGGAAGAAAAAAAATAACAGAAGAAAGTAAGAAACTCGTCCCAGCATGATCTTATATATAGATAGGGTTTTTTTTGTAAGGACCATGATTGGTGCACACTCGAATCCAATACCCGGGTATGCACCCCCCACATAAAAAAAAAATGAACCGGGTGTTCTCCATTTTTTTTTATGCGAAGTGTGCACACTTAGGTGTTGAATCCGGGTGTGCACATATCATTTTTCTTTTTGTAATTCAGTAGAACTCTAGCTCCTCTTTTCCATTTATTTATTTTTAAATAATGCATTAAGATAAGAAGATGAATCGTATGGAAAAAAATAATATATTAAATATCAATAACAATAATAATAATAACAATAATAAACAACTTGTCTAAGCACTATGAAATTGGCAATTATTGCATGGCTATCTTCCAAAATTCAAAGATTAACAAATTGGCACTAAAATAACTATAAGGACACAGATTCAATGGTAGAATCCTGATTTACCTCACGCTTTTGTTTCACTCCTGGATTTAAAATCTTGTTCTTTCTATACCAAAATAGACACAGAATAAGGACATTCACTAGTATCAAAAGCAATTTGGCATAAAAAATTGTACTGATTCACAAATTATTTCTTCTTTATTAATGATAATTTTAGACTCAGTAGTAATCATCATATAGCTTTCTTTATTAATGAGAATATGAATTTGTCCTTTTTGATAATAGTTTTACAAAATAAAATACATAGATAGTGAACTTACTAATCAACACCTTGGCTACCACACAAAAATGCTCCTCATAAGACAACACAGTAGCCTTGTGATACAGTTGATACAGCTCTGCTCCAAACCCACCATGAGGTAGCCAATCAACAAAACAAAATTGACTGCCTCTGTACAGCTTAAACTAGAAAAGAAAGGGAACATGTATGCTGCAGTGATTCTTGTGTTATAGCACACTAAAGCCTACTTTTTCATTAATTTTGAAATTAGTACCAGCAAAAGTTATAAGCACTCAATTTAGATTGATAATAATTTGAAAAATGCAATTTGCTTCCAACGTTCTTCTCAAATTTTATGTGCATCAATCTATGGACCCGTTCAAGTCTAAGCCCATTCATTTCCTAGGTGTAAAGATCAACAGCCCTCCAACCCGATAAAAACGGAAATTTCTCTAGCCTTCTGTAACAATAAGGGTGAAAAATACCTATATGATTTTAACAAATATCTAATAGAGAACAACCTGAATGTAAAAAGCCCCACAAGATGTAGTCATGACACCAAGGAATAAGTATTTTAAACTCTAAAAGGTCAATACCACCTAGTCTTAGTGAAGTGTACTCTTCTAAAGTCTGAAATCCTTTAACAAAAACAAAACTTAAAAAACTCAATTACAAATAATCCAAAATGCTTCAATTGAGATGGTATGATTTGTTATTATGATTAGTAAAGGCCCTCAATAAATTACATCATATATACCTTTACCAAGTTTGCAGATAAAGGGCACATTTTTTTTTTTTTTTGGGTCACACAGATAGATTGATTAATTGCAATAACATAAGAAGTTTTTCTAATTTCTCCAAAATAACTAGGAAATATTTCCCAATGTAGTTACCAAAGGCAATCATTAGTTGGTTCTCATAACTATAAAAATCTGAGAAGACTTGTCAGCAACTAAACAACTAGAAGTCACAATTACATATTCAAAATTCCTCAAAGAATCACCATCCAAAGATTTATGTCAAGTAAAATATATGTTGTCAGTCCCATATGAACTCATCTCTGGCATCCTCGAGGTTTTACAATCTTTTCCCAGCTTTCCCCTTCTTAGTCCTTTCCTATTTTCTACTTCTTTTACTACCTTTTCTTGGTCCTCCTTTTTCGCTGCTCTTTTCTGTTTTTTCTTTTTCTATCCTAATAAGTTTACATTTTTCTCTATTTTTTTCTCCCTTTCTGCTTTTTATCTCATCCTGCTCTCTAACTATGTTTTGCTTTTGTTTAATTCTTTTCTTTCCTTGCATTTCACCTTGGATTCATTCTATCCCATTCCTTTAATTCCATGACCCTAAATCAAGACTTCCGCAATCAAATCTATATTTCCTGTCAACTACCTCAGAAGGATCCCTCATGCAACCAGTCTTGAAAACATGATAAACATCATATGATCCAAAATTACCATACACAAACCCCAGAAGGCAACCAAAAAAAAAAAAAAAAGAAATTAAAAAAGATCAGGACCAACCCATGGGAACAGTACCAATCAACATAGAAGGGATAAATATGGCAAAGATCTTGCGAAAACCACTATCAGTACAAAGTAAAATACTTGTACTCTTTTGTTTCCATTTTTCTAAGGCTACTCCATACCATATACAAACTATGAATGCTTTTCAATTTCAACAAGCCTTTCAATTCCAATTTAATGATTCAATTTCTCTGAATGATTCCAAGAAGTATCCACTTAATAAATGCTAAAAATCTGCATCAGAATGGCATACTGCAATGACGAACTCAATCCCCCACCATGAAACATTATTTCTAAATTCTAAAAGTCACTTCACAATGTTTACAGGTGATTAGCATTTTCCTCCACCTCATCACAAAAGGCACATGATGATGACCCTTAGTATGATACAATACTTTTTTGGTGGGCCAGCTTGACTAGCTTCATTCCCAAACATGAGTCTTCTTTTGTAGGGAATTAATAGTACCAAAAGGAATCCCACTCTGTATAATGTGAGCCTTAGATTAAACCAATATTACCCTTCTTTAATTTTGATATTTATTTGCATAAACAGTAGCACTTCTACTCTTACTGGTATATCACTTATACGTACATTAAGAAAGGCATATATATAGATTATTTAATTAGTTTCGAAGTATAGATACTTTTGAATGAAGTTATTTCACTGCTGCACTACTTAGAGAGCATCAACATTAGATTTTAATTTTTTTTTGCTTTTAGAAGTGATTGGTGTAACAAAAATATTGAGTGTATTTTTGCTTGAAGAAAGAATGGACAACAGCTTTTTAAAGTTAAAAATAGATGTATGGTTAGAGGTTTAAATAACTAGTTTAGCATAAATTAACTATAGTAAAAAATGAAAATTTTCTTTCAATTTAAGGACAATTAGTGTACATATATATATATATTTGACGTAACAACTTGAATTCCATGTCCGGAAAATTCAGGTATCTTAATTTCCATATGTGGTTAATGTTCATATATTAGCACAGATTAAAGAAGTTGGAGATTGAATCAAAAACAATTTGGAGTACAGTTTTGTTATAGGAGAAAATAGGTTACATTGTAGATGATTCCCTGAAAAAAATTTTAAGCTAAAAAGGCAAACCACATTCTGTGTTTACTCTGAAAAATCCAAAGTGAAAGCAAAGAATCATTCAATAGTGGCAGCAAGAAGAATTTTAAAGGGTTCAAAACGATCATTGGTTTAAGCCGTGCGGCACATGATGAGGGATGATCCATCAATCAAAGCAACTTATTTCAAAAGAAAAAGCACAGCATTTTTACAAATTTAATTAGATGGTCACCATTCCTTACAGCTATATTACAATTTGATCAAAGAAGAGAGGTTCAATTATGCAAAGATTCTCTTAGTGAAAAGAAAGGGTCACCAGGCCAAGTGGATGACAGACAGATTCTGTGATGACTTTTTAACTTTGCTATAGGATGCCCCTCCACTGAATTCAGGAGGTCTCAGAACAACATTTGCCATTGGTTTTCAAAGTGCTAGCTAGACAGTAGACACCAACTGGCTTGATTCATTATTCTCACACATAAAATTCCCCTCCCAAATTTAGGGGTTTGTGATCGATCTATCATTGTAACTAAAGCAATTAAGTTATAATATATTCTGTGGTGTAGGAGCCGATATCAAAACACCGATTTTGGCGAGATTTAAAATCCCACTACGATAAATTCGATTGCCAAGATCACCACTTAGGTTGGCAAGACCTAAGATACAGAGATAAATTGAGAGAATCCACTCTCAAGAAACTCACTCAAAACATAGGAAAATTGAAATTTCATTAACTGATAAAACTTATGCATACAATGGTGAGAGCATGGCTATCTATAGGCCAAATCTATTGAAAGGCAATAAATGAAAAGTAAAATGCAGTTGGGAGTTAGCAGTTGGAATTAATGGCTATGTTGACAAAGTTGCCAACCTATTGTGGTGTTGTAGAGTAGCTTCTGCATGCTTGTAGGTACTTTCTCCCGGTGCATTCTCCCCTGGTTGGAGAAAACTCGTCCTCGAGTTTGAGTTCATTGCTCATGATCCTCATAGTAAGGAGATAGGTCAGCTACATTGAAAGTAGCAGAGACTCCATAGTCACCTGGAAGTTTGATCTTGTAGGCATTATCATTGATTTTCTCCACTATCTGAAAATGACCATCTGCTCTAGGGGAGAGTTTGACATTAGGTTGATTAGGAAACCTTTCCTTTCGAAGGTGTATCCAAACCCAATCTCCTTCTTTATACACAACCTTCTTTCGGTGCTTGTCATGATAAGCCTTATACCTAATGGTTTGACGTTGTAGCTTCTCATGAACTTCTTCATGAAGTTTCTTGATCTCCTTGGCTCGTTGTTCAGCATCGGCACTAAATTGTCAAGATGTGGGCAATGGAGCAAGATCTAAAGGACTGAGAGGACGCACTCCATATACAACTTCAAATGGGCATTTTCCCGTAGCTTGATTAGAAGAGTTGTTGTAGGCAAACTCAGCTTGGGCAAGCACAAGATCCCATTGTCACAAATTCTTTCCCACAAAACTTCGTAGTAGATTCCCCAAAATCTTATTGATAGCTTCAGTTTGCCCATCGGTTTGGGGATGGCTAGCA